CTATGTAAACAAGGCTGGCTTTAACCTCACAGAGATCTGCCTTTATCTGCCTCCTGAGCACTGGGATTAAAGACCTGTGCCCCCACACCCTGCCTGAACAATTTGAAAGCAGGTTGAAGACATCATGCACCTTAACCTTTGAATACTTCAATATAAATTATTAAAAAATTAAATAAAAATATAATTTAAAATTATAAAATAAAATAAAAATTTTAAATATAATTTTTAAAGTAAAATTTATCAAATGTACAGACTTTTTTTTTTCAAATTTCACGAGGTGATGTAGTAATGCTATTTCTGAGAAAAGGAAACATGTTTACCAGCTTTCATTTATTTGTCTTGTCTCTTTATCATCTTTGGTTTGTTTGGTTTTTTTGGTTTTTTTTTTTTTTTTTTTTTTTTCGTTCATGACTGGTGTTTTTGAAGAGCATGGGGCACACGTTCTATAGAACTGGAAGCTGTTTCTCCATGCATGATTAGCTAGGATTCGAGCAGAAGGTGCTGCTCTGTCCTTTCCCGTGTGTCTACTAAGAGGCGCGTGATGCTGGCTTGCTCCCTGACTAAGAATACCAACTTAGATCACTTTGTTAAAGTGACCTCTCAGGTGTCTCCACTGTGAAATCACTGTTGTTCGATTTTTAGTTAATAATCATTTGGGGGGACATCATTTGAGATTCCATAGTGTCCTTCTAGCATCTGTTGATAATTCTTGCCTGAAACAAGACTGCCATGACTTCCTTTTCCTTATATAGTTGCTTATGGACGTTCAAAATGACTATGTTCATATCAGAGTCGATGACTTAAGGATCCATTATGATCATTACTTGTTTTTATGTTCAAACTGTGTCATACTTGGTGAGCGAAGACCCTTCCAATGGACTCCCACGTGTTTTTGATAGGTGCCCAACATTCTTTGAGACCCTTCTTTCTCTGTAGCATTGGATGCTCCAGGATGCTTTATATTTCCCCAGACCAATTTAATCCTCGATTTAGCTTCTCCAAAGGTTATAATATTGAGAAAATGGGCTCTGGGGCCTTGGTCTGTTCATTGTTCCTAGGTTTATACTTTATCGGGTAGATCTAAGTAGGTAGTTGTTCATTAATTGACATATCTACTTACACATCTTCAAAACCGTCAGTTGATGCTGTATCTTCTCTCTCATCCAGCTCCTCAGGGCCCATGCCCTCATCCCTTCCCTTTTGCAGCTCTTCTCTTTGACCCTGTAAAACCTGACATCTGTCAGCCATATGTAGTTAAACTCATTTCCTCAGTCAGGTAATTTAAGGTTTGAGGATTGTCTGTTGTCTAGCTATGGTGAAGACATGTATTTTCGAGTAATTTTACTTGTTGCTGAAATATGTGTATTTGGGGAAAAGGTATTCTAGGAAATTTGATTTATATGACTGTCACAACCACAGTCTATAAGAGTAAGTACTTTTCAATGTGTGAATTAAAATACGTAGACCTTTAAAGGAAGCCTGCTGTGATGAGATACACCAAAGGTATTTAAAACATTGTCTTTCATCAACACATTAATAGTGCCGTGGTAGCAAGAATGATAATCATGTCTTTAATTCTCCTCATTAGGGAGGCAAAGGTGGGCCTTTGTGAGTTCAAGGCCAGCCTGGCCTCTGTAGAAAGTTTCAGCATCCAGAGCTACATAATGGGACCCTGTAACTGCAAAAAGAGAGGAAGGGGAAACACTATATTTTATAATAAGTAACACAAACAATATAACATAAAAACACCGTGGCTGTAATTGATAACAAAGTCTCATATACTACAAATAGTGCTGAAGTGTGTTGATAGTTTCATAACTGAAAGACGTGTTAAGTTTCAGTAACAGATTAGAAAAGATTCTCTAGATATCTAGATTCTCTTCCCTGTCTTAATGGATCTTTCTTTGACCATTTCCAAGCTCTATAGAAAGCCCGAAGGCCTTACATTGACACCCAAACCCTCCATCCACCCTAATTCAAGCCTCTTGTGTCTGGTAACTCACATCATCACAGGAATAGCACCCCCTTTTCTCATGTCCCTCCAACCTCCCAGTTCCCCTAGGGACCTACCAGTCTATATATGTGAACAGAGGTGAGCATGAGGGAAGATGATGAAAGGAATAACTGCTTTGGATGTCAGAGGTTGTTTTGGTCCAAAAACTTCTAGCCTCACCTCTTAGCAGCCTTGGCAAGGTACCTGTGTTGACACTAACAGCTCAGCCTGGACACTGCTCAGCCCAGCCACCAGAGAGTTCAGATTTCCAGTTCTCGCACGAAGGCATAGTGCCCCAGGATGCAACAACCTTGGCAAATCACCTTATATCTTTGAATCTGTTTCATTTTTCTGAAAGCTTTCCTCAAGGCTAGAGAGAAAACCAAATGGGACTGTGTGCAAATCTCCAGTGGAGAAGCCTTTGCCAAGATAGGCGACAGTCTCACAATTTGCTCCTCTCAATTCTGCCCCTGGCAAAGCTGAAGACAGGAGAAGTTGCGTCCTCTGCTGTGGAGACATTAAAATCCACAATGTTTTCCTTTCTTCGGATAATATCTTTAGAAATTTTATTTATGATGAAATTAGACATTTCAATATTAAATAACTATCAATGGCAGACTTAAACAAAGCGCTGTAACTAATTGGATTTACAAATATGAAATGTCATTAAAATTTCTAAATATATAATTCATGAGTGCTTTTCTGCTTCTCCCCATAGTTACACATTTTAAATTATTATGTATTTAAGAAGTAAAAGCCCTGCTGCATGGACATTTATATGCCACAAATCAATTTCTACGCAAAGAAGGTTTGGGGAAGCTAAACCAAATTACTAAGTAATTTAGAAACCCGTTTTCAAATATACCTATAACTGTACCACAAGTCAGCTGCATCCTCATGCTTTCTACATTTCCATATTTGTCACTAGTTTAATACCTATTATTGGATTTTTATTTATTTTTATAAGTCTTTTAGGAAAAAAAGATAAAAACAAAACTCATTTTTCCTTAAAAAATAAAGATACATTGAATTATTTTTATCTTAAGTATACTGTTGCTTTCACTGTTGTAGAAATTAAGTATGTGGACGTATTTGAAATACTCTCCATGTCTTTGTTTATAGACATATCTATTTAACAAAACACTGGGTCAAATAACCATTACTTTAAGAGGACAAGAAAGAAAAGAAAAAAATGTCTTAGTATCCATGAATAGGCATGATTCTGGGACCATCCACATGTCTGCACCTCAGTCGCTGCCCATTGGCTTTTTCTGTGAAGTGTTCCAGGCCTGTGGGATTCTACAAGAGAATGAGTTGAGGACAAAGACACTGGGGGCTGGAGAGATGGCTCAGCTGTTAAGAGCATGTATTGCTCTTGCAGAGGACCTGAGTTCTGTTTCTAGCACCCGCATTAGGCTGCTGGCAGCCGCCTGTAACTGCAGCTTCAGAGGATCCTATGATCTCTCCTGGCCTCTGAAGGCACCTACACTCCAGTACTCTTGCATGTGTGTGCACACACCTACACATGCACAAATATATATATAACTTTAAAAATATTTTAAAATATATATTTTAAAAAGAAAAGGAAATATACTGTGTGGGGAAGGAAGAGGGCTCTTTGCAAAGGTGATGCTCTCTCTGGCCCCTCTTCCCTCCACTGACTCATGCACTGAGCGCGTGCACTGTTCCTGTGTGGCGAAGGAGCTGACTTCTTCTCCACCTGCTTCCCCTAGCCAGAAGCTGGACGGGCTGGGCCTCCCTGACCTAAGGCAGCCCAAGGACAGCAGCCTGCCCTCTGACTCTTGTTGACTTCCTCCTACTGGGTGGAGTGCCATTCACAGAGGCCAATGCCCACAGCAAGCATGGCATGCTGAGAGGACACAGAGGGGCAGGTCCCTGAGGACGAGTACAGGAAGCCCTCCTCCAGCTTATATGAGGTCCCAGCCTATCCCCTAGTCCCAGCAAAATTAATATTACAGTTGTGTCTCCCTTGTAGGTGGTGTGGTCAAAGCCTCAACTTCAGTACAAATTTACTTCATTTTGTCCTGTTTATATGTGACTTTTTTTTTTCTTGCAAGAGATTAGTGTTGAAGACAGAATTTAAAGATTTGAGATACTGGACGTTTATCTCCCCCTCCTCCTAAACTTACTGGGACATTTCACTTCACTCATGCCTGAAGAGAGCAGCAAGGGTAGCTCTAACTCATTTACAATAAGAAAATAGAAACCGTATTGGGAATGTTTTCTTAGTGACAGCAGCGCTAATGCTCTCCTTTCCTGGATTCTGAAAATAACCAAGAGTCTGGCAGGGCCAGGAGACTGACCTAAAGCCCTCTAGGACAGTGGCTTCCAGCTTGTGGGCTGTGACCCCTTTGGGATTGAATGACTCTATCACAGGGGTTGCCTGAGACCATCAGAAATCACGGATATTTATAATACAGCTTATGACGGTAGCAAAATTACAGATATGAAGTAACAACAAAAGGAAATGTTTGAATGGGGGGAGGGGTCACCACAACCTGAGGAACTGCGTTAAAGGGGCGCAGCGCTAGGGGGCTTGAGAACCACCGCTCTAAAAGATTTTTGATGCTGTTTTGCTCTCGAATGTCACTAACTGATGGGATGTAACATTTTACCGTGAGACTCTGTCTCTTGGAAGGATCAGTTCACGAATGAAGTTGATGTCACTACGTGACTCTGGTGGCTCCTTTCACCCGGTGGCCTCCACTCTGCTCCTTTCCACGTGTATTTTTCTGAGTTCTGCTTGGTCAGTTTGGGCATTGCCTTCAAGAAGCAGTGTGTGATTTCAATGACTTGTCGTTCCGACAAGCAACCGAAAATTCATTTTAAGAGCTGTTTGTCTACTGGAATTCCTTTAAATAGTTCACACCCCTCAACATGTGATTGTTCTGATTTGATTTGTTTTTCTTTCTAGTTTTGAGCATCCGGGACATCATCTTGTTCTCTGCACGAAGGAAGTGTCCCTGCGGCGTGCAGAAAAAAGAAGATGTTGTTGTGGGTGCTGGCCCTCCTACTCCTCTGTGCTTTTCTGTGGAAGTACAAAGGGCAACTGAAGATAGCAGACATCACCGACAGGTACATTTTCATCACTGGCTGTGACACAGGCTTTGGAAACTTAGCAGCCAGAACTTTTGATAAGAAAGGCTTCCGCGTCATCGCTGCCTGCCTGACTGAGACAGGAGCAACTGCTCTGAAGGCGAAAACCTCGGAGAGGCTTCACACAGTGCTGCTGGATGTCACCGACCCAGAGAATGTCAAGAAGACTGCCCAGTGGGTGAAGATCCATGTGGGAGAAAAAGGTAAGAGGTGAGAGATGTGGGCATAGGGAGGTTGGGAGACCAGGAATTGACTGAGGCAATATAACACGTGTTCGCATGTGTTCACATCCTAAATGGCTTCTCAAGAGAATGTCTTCTAAGTCCTGGCAGCACGTTTGTTGCTCTGCAGAGCTTCTGAGTAATTCCAGTGTATGTGAGCTGTACCCCAGATAGACTGCCTTGAGTCCCAGCAGGCAAATCTAGAACAGACGCGAAGGTCCTAACTTTCTCTGACCTTCTTCAACATCACAGCAAAGAGAGTTGAGGTTCAAGTTTATAAAAGGACATGGAAACAGCCTCCGGATCACCGCCTCATTACCTGGGACCCGCATCTCACCAGCTGGGTTCGAGAGTTCATACTTTAGTGGTCTACAGAGCAGGCCTTAGGGATGTGTGCATAAGGGTCCTTCAGGAGTACACGTTGTCTATTGAGTATCACAGGTTCCCTCTGCTGCGGATTGTGTTAGATAGGTGCACGCTGGACTGGGAATGTTTTGCTTTGAATATTGAAATATGCTGATAGAAGAAGATGTCAGGGTCCATAAAAAAAGCAAACGCATGTGCTTCAATAACGCCGTTAGCTCTAAGATTCTGAACCTCAAACGCCATGAGTTAGTAAAGCCTCCAGACAAACTTTGTTACCTGAATTCTAATGCCTTTAGCAATATTATGTATTTCCAATCAAGAAACAGCCAAGCGGATGACTTATTTTTCTAGAAAAACTCAGCATAAAGTAAATGCATATCACTTCTCTACCCATGCAGAATACTTTACAAATATACTCTGGCTGCACCATCTTGCAAGGCAGGAAAGTGGACCAATTTGTTATCTGAGTTGAGAAACCAGAAAGTCTGCCTCAAAAAGCATAAAAAAAAAAAAAAAAAGATACTTGGAACCAGGAGTAAACTAACAGTGAGACTGAATTCCAGCAACTAAACACCAACAATTTCAACTTAGCCTCCCACTCTGTGGGCTATCACTTCCCCAAAATGCAAAAACATTTCAAAGCAGGAATAACTACAAAGAGGAAATGGCCCCACTGTATAAAGAAAGAACTGAATTTCCATCAGAGGTGCCCATAGGAACAGCATTTTCTGCCACGCCTCCTTCTCTCCCTCTCTGCTCCAGGTCTCTGGGGTCTGATCAATAATGCTGGTGTCCTTGGGGTGCTGGCTCCCACCGACTGGCTGACTGTGGATGACTACAGAGAACCCATTGAAGTGAACCTGTTTGGACTCATCAACGTGACACTGAATATGCTTCCACTGCTCAAAAAAGCTCGAGGGCGTGTTATTAACGTCTCCAGTGTTGGAGGCCGGCTTGCTTTCGGTGGAGGGGGCTATACGCCATCCAAATATGCAGTGGAAGGTTTCAATGACAGCTTAAGGTAAGCTGAAGTAATTGACTTAGAGGATAATGGCTGCTAACATGGATACCTAGTATGTAGAAGGTACCCTTTTTAGCACTTTAAAATATTCCCGCTTGCCCAGGGTCACACCGCTAATAAGTGGTAGAGCTGAGATTTGAACCCAAGTCTATGTTGACTCTAACTCTATTTTGCTTTTGTGTTGGCATATGATACCTACCGCGGGGTGAATTTACAGTCGCCAGGTCAATGTGACGAATAGACTCATCAGATAGGGTCAGCTCTCTATTGTTATTCCCAGCAGTTGCTAACAGAACAGTGCCAATTAATTTAAGCCTCCAGCAGAAAAGCATCAGGTCTCAATGGCTGCCCAACACACACCAGCTGGGTTTGGCAGTTGTAGCCATTGGATGAGGCAGTGAGGGAACGGTTGATTCATCTCATCTGGAACCAGAATTTGTGACTCAAAGCCCATAAGTGCTTATTCAGTCAAGGTTCTAAAAAGAAATGGCAAAACATTAAAATTGTATTAAGAGATTAGAGTTTACTTCAAGGGCAATTTTCTAATATGTGGGAGGTATGGAGAGAAATCCCAAAGGATGAGAATAAGGACTACCAGCAAAGGGCATTGCTATCCAAGCACCAAGGGATGAAGAGGCAGGGAAGTTTCTAGACCCCGGAGACACAGAGGCCGACAGCTCCAACTAGAGCATGGAAAAAACAGTGTTGACACTGCATGAGGAATGTCTAGTCCCACTTCTTGTACTCCTGTTCCTGATTCTAATAGACTGTGCCCGCCAGATACTGGGATACAGTTAATGCAGGAGAGCCTTCTGGGGTAGAGTGCAAGCAGAAAAGACTGCAGGAGTAAAAGGAAGTTAAGCAGGTTGAGTCATGCCGAGACAAGCAAGAGAAAAAAACACGATTGACATTGGCTTGCCTTTAATCCGCCCACTTATTTATTCAGTTACTATTTACTAAAGGCCTATATTGGAGTTTACATCCATACCACAGACCTAGAAGCAATAAAAGGATGCTACAGAGGGCCTCTGAAAGTCAGAAGAAGAAAACAGGAAACAACCTAGGAACCTGCCACAGAGGGCATCTGAAAGCCTCTGCCCTGCAGACTATCAAAACAGATGCTGAGCCTGATGGCCAACTGGCGGGCAGAGTGAATGGAATTTTATGTAAGAAGTGGGAAATAGCAAGAGCTGGAGAGGACAGGAACTCCACAAGGAGAGCAACAGAAGAAAATTTGAACACAGGGAACTTCCCAGAGACTCATACTCCACCAAGGACTATTCGTGGAGATAACCTAGAACACCTGCACAGATGCAGCCCATGGCAGTTTAGTGTCCAAGTGGCTTACATAGTGATGGGAAGAGGGACTGCCTCTGACATAAACTGATTGGCCTGCTCTTTGATCACCTCCCCCTGAGAGGGGAGCAGCCTTACCAGGCCACAGAAGAAGACAATCCAGCCATTCCTGATGTGATCTGATAGACTAAGATCAGAAGGAAGGAGAGGAGGACCTCCCCTATCAGTGGACTTGGGGAGGGGCATGCCTGAAGAAGGGGGAGGTAGGGTGGGAGGGGCTTATGGGGGGATACAAAATGAATAAAGTGTAATTAATAATAATAATAAAAAGAGAAAAAAATGCAAAAAAAGAAAAGGACAGATGATCACACTAAGGTTAATAAGGCTGATAGATAACTACATTCTACCATGTGATCTAATTGCCAAGTCGTAGTCTCCTAAGAAATAAACACAACAGAATCCATCCAAAATGTGAACGTGATGTTGAATAGCGGGTTGGACTTGGTACAGATTCATATTTGGATGGGCGTGGCTGTAGGATGTGCCCCGAGAGCCTGCTTTTCTGGAGTTAGCAGATGCTGCCGAAGGCTCGGGATCATCACACTTGCAGTAGCGCTGTCCTGACAACTCCCTCAGCGTCAGCTGACCTTCCCTTCTGTTTTACAAGCAGCGGTATCACAATGAAATGCTAGTAGTTGAAAAGATATTTCGACTGGAGTTTTGCAGAATCCACTGGGCAGCTGTCGGAAAGGAATTCAAAGAAAGTGTTTGTGTCTTTCTGGACCGCAGAACTTGTATTTGACATGGAATTATGCATTCAACCTAGCCCAGTGGCTTTTGCAAAATGTCTACATATAGAAAGAAGGAATGAGGGACAGCAGTCCAACAGAGAAAGGATTGGGGCTCTAAAGCTGTATTAGCTCAGCACGTGTATTGGTTTTACACTTCCTTCACTTCCCTCATAATCTTACCTGCCTGGCCTGTCTCCTGTCCCTATGCCGTTTTTGCTAGCACATAAGGAGAGAGGTCTTCTCAGATACCTCCTTGGAACTGCTGTCTCCCACACCCAACAGACATCAGTTAACAGATGAATAAAATAGAATTAGGTTGAAAAATAACATTTAAGATTTTGATGTAATATTCCTTTCAAAATCTCTCAGGGTAAAGCTAATTTAGATTGTCACTAAAATATATTTCAAATTGTATAATAGTGTTGTTGCTAGAAAGCAAAATCTAAAATAATCAAACTACATTTTAAAATTACAACTAGAGCTTATTTTAAAAATACCGTTTAGTGAGGACCAGGGTGTAGCTTAGTGGCAGAGTTCTCACCCAGCACTCCAAGGTTCTGGCTTCAAGCCTCAGTATGGTTAAGATAGAATGAGAAATTTCCTCTTAATACATTCCTAGTAGAACTATACATTAAATTTAGGAAATGATTATTCATGAGCTGCTGTGCAATACCTTGTTTGGTTGGCAGAAAGGAAGCACCAACATCTCAAACCTGTGGCTCAGTAAATATGTGGACTTGAGGTTGTCTATAGTGATGTGAAGGGAAACTTGCTCAACACCTCAGGGATCAGGGTGACCTGCCAGGGATGGTGATGCTAGGTCCTTCAGCATCCCCAGTCATGCTACCATTCCACATTCCAAAACTCAAGGTGAACTTGTTCACCCAGCCAGTCACCGTCCCTTTCACGGCCGGGTACTCTGAACGTGGAGAAGAAATGGCTGTATTATTGCTTTAACAAGAAGAATGTGGCTTAAGGAGACAAACACTGGATGAGTGTGGGGCTATTCAGAGGGTTGGTCCATTTCCTGTTCTACCATTCAGCCTCACTCAACCACCTTGAATTCCAATTTCTTCATCTTCAAAGCGACAGAGTAGAGCAACATGCTTGTTGCCAGTGTGGCCACTCTGTGATTCTCTGAAAAGATTTATGAGAAACTAGTTAAAGAGTAGTAAATAAATTTGAGTGAAACAAAAATAGTAATAGAAATATGAAAGACTGAGGAGGAGACTTCAGAATGCTTGTCTAGCACAAAAGCCCTAGACTGGACCCACAGCTCAATGAAAGCATGATTTTTAATATAAAAGTATCCTCCAATTGTTCTCGCAGGAGGGACATGAAAGCTTTTGGAGTGCACGTCTCATGCATTGAACCAGGGCTCTTCAAGACAGAACTGGCAGATCCAATAAAGACAACTGAAAAAAAGCGTGCTATTTGGAAACATCTGTCTCCAGACATCAAAGAACAATACGGAGAAGGCTACATTGAAAAAAGTGAGTTTGTGGGGGGGGGGGGGGGGGGGGGAATGCAGTATATTCTGGGATTCACTGGCCTGGTCGGCATGAAGGGAATCTTTTATACAGGGACTAAATTCATAGCCACCTCTGGCTTCTCCGAGTGATTGTGAGCGCTTACTAAGAAACTAACACACACCAAGTTTGACAGAGGCCTTGCAGGGTAAAATGCCCTTTCCAGGGTGGCCAGCATGGTCATGCCAGGGCCTGAAGCCAGCAGCCGGTGGCTCTATATTCACCTCATCTTATTAGTAAACACAGTCACGCATTCAGCATTGCTCAAGGATCAGTGGAGGCGACAAATGATGGAGACAACTCAGACTGTGACCCTTGTACTTTACTATAGCTGACAATGAAAGAGTAACCACATAAGACTGTGAAACAATGAGACTATTCAGCATCAAGTTAGCAAACAGATCTTTAGGGCAGCGGAGAGAGCCAGAAGTGATGTCATGCAGTCTCTAATTGCCCGGGGAACACAGAGCAGGCAAGGGGCTCAGCCCATACAGGTTTGATAAGGCTTTAAAATGCAGGAGAGGGTTGTTTGGGTGGAGGAAACTACCGGGGGCAGGAACGCATGGAAAGGGAAGTGGAAGAAGAGGTAAAATGAGTCAGAAGACTGAGTCAAGGGGAGAGAATAATACTAAAGATTACGCAGAGATGACTAATTCCGTGAACATGTGCGGCGTGCCCTTCGTTGTTCTGGCTGCCTCACACACCCGCTGTCATTTACAGTCCCCAAGCTCTAGGGAGCAGCTGCTATTATCTCCATCATTTTATAGAAACAGAGACATGAAACCGTACAGACAGCCGTGAACCCAGCACAGCCGTGACGTGCATTCTTGGGCACTCTGAAGAAGCAATGCATTCAACACTTGGGTCAAAGTTCCTGATAAGGGACTTCCCTCCCACCTACAGCTTTTTGATCCTGCAATGTTTACTTGATGTTCCTCAAACACCCAGCTCTGGCCTTCAGAGATGAACTATGATAAGGTCCAAGATCAGCAGTTAGGATTGAGACCCAAGACTCCTATCAGAAACACTTACGGAGGTTTTCAAAATGATAGAGATTCCCAGCCACCGCCACCACCTCAATACGAAGTACACACAAGCGCAGGGCTCCTGAGGATTTTAACTAAAATGCCTGATGAGTGTCTCGCTGTAAGCATAGAGTCATCACCAATTAGAAGCTGTATTTCTGACTCTAAAGGTTTTGTGTAGGTCAAGGGTTAAAGACTGACCTTAACCCTGTTAGACTTATTACTTCAGAGACAAAGTTCTTCGTGTAAAAGAGATTTCCATATTAGATAATGATGTTGATGGTGATAGCACCTATGACTATATTACAAAATTCCATCCAAAATTGTTTTCTGTTTTGGCACGTAACAATTGTGCATATTTATGACACATAGCATGAGGTGAGCACTAACAGTAACAAACAGATCAAAGTGGCTGGCATATTGATTGTTTCAAACACTCAGCATTTCTTTGTGTTGAGGACATTCAATGTTTTCATGAGCATTGATTCCAGTTTTATAGTGACTTATCATATTAAATATTAAATAAACATTTCCAAGTCAGAATTTAGAGATGAGCCAGACTTACAGTCCCAAAGCAGGCCATAAATTTAAGGTTGCCTTTCTTCATTTCCCAGGCTGAACAATAACTTAATCTAGTCATTAGCACTTACTACGTTCTTTGGACAACCTGTGGCTACATAACAAATACCACTATTGCTTATTAGGTTCCTTAAACAATTAGGAGCCTCAGATCTAACATGGCAGGTTTTCACCTGAGAAGACACGGCTCAGGCATGTTTGAAAGCACTATCAGATGGTAGTTCTACTTTGCATTTTTCAAGGAAGCCTCATACCATTTTCTACAGTTGCCGTTTTGGTTTATGTTTTCGGCAACTGCCTGCACAGGGTCTCTTTCTTCAGCATCCCAGTCAACACTTCTTATCTTTTGTCTCATCACCACTCTAATGGTCCAATGTGATATTGTGCAGTGGGTTAAATTAGAGTACTGTTTATCCACTGTGACTAACACACCGACATACACACTCACTGGCCCTGTTCATGGCCCCTTGAGAAACGTCTGTCTGGGTCCTCTCTGTGTCCTAGAAATCAGATTGTTCATTTTCTATCAAGTTGTTGATGCTCCCTTTATATTTCTTTGTGGATATTAACCCCTTACCAACGTATGGAAGGCAAATAATTTTTTCTGCTCTATCGGTTGTCTCTTTGCTCTTTTAACTGCTTCCTTTGATGTGCAGGAGATTGTTAGTCTGATGCAGTTTTATCCATCCATTCTGGCTTTTGTGGTCTATGCTGTATGGATCATCTTCAAAACTTATTGCTTGGTCCAATTTCATAAAGCTTTTACACTGTGTTTTATAGTGTTAGGTTCAGGCTGGAGAGACGGCTCAGCCATTAAAGGCTAGGCTCACAACCAGGAATATAGTGTTAGGTTCTACTTTCAAGTCTTCGATCTGTTCTGAGTTGATTTTTATATTCAGGATGAGATAAGGTTCCAATTTCATTCTCCTGCCTGTGGATGGCTAGTTTTTCCAACATTTTATTATTATTATTATTATTATTATTATTATAGGATCCAGGGCTTCACATTCTTTCTAATCCCATGTGAAATTTGCCTCTCTGATGGGATCTTAGGTCGTGACTCAAACACTTCACTTACCCAACAACTGGGAGACATTTAACTTCTGATTCAGGACAAAATCATAGAGGTGTGAGGCATGCATGCATACTCCCACACGAGAAGACATACAAAGTCATATTTCCTATAACGAAGTACTCTCCAGGGTGGATTAGGAACCAAACTCATGACTTCCTGGAAGCAAGGCACTCACGGGCTCTATACAATATCCTTTCCCTACTGCCTTTAAAGAAACAGTCCTCAAAAATCCTCAGACCAGCGGCATCACTTGAAAACTTGTGATAAATAAAATGCTAAGACTTCACATCATACCTACAGGCTCAGGAATTCTGTACATAGAACCCAGAAGTCTGGGTTTTAATAGGTGCTGTGAGAGATTCTGATACCCACCCAAGTTTGAGATGAGGCCAACTGGCCTCATCAATGGCCTAAAGAAGGCATTGCAGCATCATTTTCTGGAGAATGGAAAACCTTTCCGGTGAGCCTCAATGATAATGGCAAATTCAAAATAAAGTGCTTGTCATGTGTCCTCCTGTTTACACCTTAATCTCCCATTCTGCTTCTCCTTTTCTGCCCAAAGAGTAAGCGTAATTTGTCTCTTTTTATAGGTCTACATAAACTGAAACACAGTACATCCTTTGTGAACTTGGACCTCTCTCTGGTGGTAGAGTGCATGGACCATGCCCTAACAAGTGTCTTCCCCAAGACTCGATATACTGCTGGGAAGGATGCCAAGACATTTTGGATACCTCTGTCTCACATGCCAGCAGCTCTACAAGACTTTCTGTTGCTGAAACAGAAAGTAGAGCTGGCAAATCCCAAAGCCGTGTGACTCAACTGACTGAAAGTCCCTGCCCCAACCTTGAGGTTGGCTGATTTCAGAGACATTATCATCTCAATCTCATTCTTTACCAGAACCAACTTAGACTCAGTTAGACAGCGTTTCTGTTTCCAAAAGAGGGAACAGAGAAGGCCTATCACGTAAGCCAGTCTTGCCTGATACTGAAGCCTTGCCTGATTGGTAAGGTGAAAGAGAAAAGGTGTGTGCTGCTACCTACCCCTGGCTGGATGAGGAATTCAGAACATAAGGCATTGTCTCTTATCAAAACATTAAGTGATAAGAAGGTCTTTCATAAATGACTCTGATGGCTCTGTTACCTCGATGAGAAGACCCAGGAGCTCACTAGGTTCTGATAAGCTTTGGTAGGAACAAGAAAGTGATAAAACCTGCTGTTCTGCAGAGCACTGGCATGAACTGAAAGGCAGAAAGGAACAGGAGTGAGGAACGCAAACAGGAGGGCAGAAAAAGACCAGGAATGAAAGACAGGGAGACCCAACACAAGCCTCACACTCCAGAGGGACAAAGAAGACACACTACCGTCGCTATTGTAAAGTCACCGCATCTGGTCCTAGCCCCAGAGGCATGTCACCTCTGGCTTCATCTAGTTGTAGTGCACCACACCACAGCAGAAACACACCAGTTCTGTTGGCTACAGCTGCTCCTCATTTCGAGGGCCAGGTTCTTGGCTCCGTTTCATGGCTCCAGACGCTGTGGCTTGCTACCCTTTGATATCCCAAGGCTGCTCAGGTTTGCAGAATCCGAAGGCAATGTCTTCATTTGTCTCACACCAGCTGCACTTCTGTTAAGCTTTTGAGTACTTCCTTCTTAGCTCTAGTCCTGCCATCAGCGTACCCTAAGAAACGGCTCAGTGGACCACAGCATTTACTCTGCTGGTTCAGAGATCCTGTGAAGGAGCTGCTGCTGTAACGAGCCAGGGGTCACCAGACAAACCAAGTGTCAAAGACTAATTTCTGTGGCTAAAAGTGGGGCCTGTGTAAACCGTTCAGGCTAAACGTAAAATATCTCCCCAAACCCTAAGACATCTATGGGCTAGCTCAGCTTAGTATATAATGGGGGGCATTCCCAGGAAGCTTCTAAGAAAAAAAATGTTCGATAGTTCTCAGGGGTCATAAGATATCACAGACTCATTTACTGATATCAAGGAAATAGCCAAACATTCTCAAAAAGGAAAACTCTGCTATCTAAGTGATTTATATCAATTTTCATCCAAGTGACTGTCTCCTGAATTCTTGCATGACAAACGAGACAATTCTGAAAGTTATACTTTTCCTTAACTCTGTGGTTCCTTTCTCCTTCTTTTTGTAACTGGGGCTCAACTCCCCAATCTCATGGATGACTCCATCATACTGTACCACTGAGATACACCACACTGCAATCTGGGATTTATTTGTTAAAGGGAAAATGTTTATAGTTTCCATCTTAATTCGCTAAGCATTGTGCAAGCCAGAGCATTGCTTCGATCTGTAGTTTGACAATGTTCAAGCTCTTCTGTCTGGGATACCTACCTGAGAAAGGTCCAGATCTAAAGCCCTACTCGGTGCCTGGAAATATGCTATAGCCTGCACTAGCTCAATCAAGGACAGCACAACCTTCTGTCATTTTCTGCCCTACCCAATTCCTCTGCTAGAAAAGTTGGAGACAGAAAGGATCCCACTATGGATATATAGCCAAAATGATGGACAACAGCTATCTAGTCAAACATGGCGAGAAATTTACTCTCAGTCCTCAGCTTGGTTTTCCTCCTCTGTGTCAGCCATCACTTGAATATATGTGAATCAAAATGCTGGGACCTGGCCTATGAGGCAGACAATGCAAAAGAGAGCTCTCCCGCTGGGGTAATAGGGAAGGCCCAGCTGGTGACTGTGGATGCTCTGTGCATGTCGGGTCTGAGTACAGTTGCTGTGCGTTACAGGAACAGTTTCAACCAACCCTTGCCACATCTCCGTCAGCTGTGCTTCTTAGACACGGGAAAATGAAATCACAGCCAAGCGGGTAATTTTCTGTCATTTAGAGTACTAGCGATCTTGGGCCAGGATTCACCCAGGCAGCCTCATTCCAGAGCCCATGCTCAGAACACTGCTATATGATAATGAATCCAAGGCTTGCAGAGTCTTCCTAAACACTGATTCTGGTTATACAAAAGCAAAATAATATTTAAGTCAGACACCAGTCTCGCCTACTCAGTAATGGTCATAAGTACGAGTGATGAGTGTTTTTGAGAAACATGTAAAGATATGGTGGTTTTTATTTCTGTAAATTCTACTTTTATTTCTACTCACTTATGATAAAATAATACCAGCATTTTTACACAATGTTTCAGATCTTGGAAGATATAAACTACGTTTCTGAATTTCCTTTACCTTTTTCTCTTCTTTGTTGTTGTCAATTTTGTTTACTTATTGTTACTAGCTTGAGGAATTTTTTTGTGATTACTTTTTGCTAATTGCCTTTCCTCACTGACGGCCAAGAGTTAAAATATTTTAGCTTTTAAGATCAAACATGGATGGATCTGGAAAAGAAAATCCTGAGTGAGGTAATCTAGACCCCAGAAAGACACACATAATATATACCCACTTATAAGTGGATATTAGCCATACGATACAGAATAAACATACTATAATCCACAGACCTAAAAAAGCTAAGTAACAAGGAGGACCCTGGGAGGATGCTTAATTCTCATTCAGAAGGGCAAACAGGATAGACACTGGAAGCGGTTGAAAGAGGGAACAGGACAGGAAACTTCCATAGATGTCCTCTGAAATGCTCTACCCAGCAAGGGATCAAAGTAGCTGCTGATACTCACAGCCAAACTTTGGGCTAGTGCAGGGAGTTCATGAAAGAGTGAAGGGATAGAAGGATGTGGAGAGGACAGGTGCTCCACAAGAAGACCAACAGAGCCAACAAATCTGGGTCCAGGGTGGGGGGAGGAGAGGGCTGCAGAGACTGATGCACCAATCAATGACCACGTATGGAGAGGACCTACACCCCCTGCTCAGAAGTAGCTGATAGGCAGCTCAGTCTCCGTGTGGGTCACCTAATAAGGGGACTGGGGGCCGTCTCTGACATGAACTCTGCTGCCTGCTCTTCAATCACTTCCCCCAGGAAAGGTGGACCTGCCACAGAGGAAGAGGATGCAGGCAGTCCTGAAGTGACCTGATAGTCTGGGGTCAGTTGGCAAGGGAGGAGGGCTCCCCCTTTCTGAGGAAGACAGGGATGGGAGGGAAGAGAAAGGAAGGGTGGGACAGGGAGGAGATGAGGAAGGGGGCTACGATCTGGATGTAAAATGAATAAATTATATATATGTATATATATATATATATTGAGCACTAAGATTAAAAAAAAAAAGAAAAAGATCAAACAAAAACATCAAAGATTAGGGTGATAGGGTGATACAAATGCCAAGTCTCTTATTGTTGTTTTGTTTTGCTTTGATTTTGATTTTTGTTTTGAGTAATAAAACTTAGCAGGATGTTCTGGTCCCTTTGGCTAGGACTAACCTAAAAACTCTAGGAACACAAATATGCAGGATGAGTTCAGGGCCTCCAGCACTGTCAACTAAAAAAACCTGCCAGGAAGTTGTTAAACTTTATAATTTGTCAGGAAGAGATCAAATAACCCACAATCTGTCTCAGGGAGATTTCACAGAGAACAGCCGTGATGTCATATGCTTCTACTGAGGAATGGAAGGTCACTATTGATTTGCCTTGCCAAGTAGCTGCAGTTAGTGGGAGATATTTTATTATTTTTGAGTCAAGTCTTTTGGGGGAGAGGGAAGAAAGGGCACCCATGCCTGCTTCCACCATCACCATGAGATTCTCACTCATTGAACTTTCCAAACTTAGCCACCCTCCCTCCCCTCCACCCCCAGAGTGTCATCCATGAGTTTGCTATGAAGCCTTCATGGCCTTTACACAGAATACACATTTACTGTTCTCTTTTACAAATAAAAAAAAAAAATTTAAAAACCCAATATCCAAATTCTTCCATCTGCTATAATCTGAGATTCCTAAATTCCCTCTCCTTGAAGTGCTAGGTCTAAGGAAAAAGGACGAAAAGGGGGGGAGAGGAGAGAGAAGAGCTGCATATCACACAATAAAGTTTAAGCACACAGGTGCTTTCTTTGAATTCTTTCTAGCGCACAGGAGTCAGCGTAGATTAGCAATTTGCAAACTCTGAGTACTGTAAATAATAGGAGACAAGACTCTTGGCTTGGCTAGTGATTCCAAACACAGTTCCAGAGTCATTCCCTGGAATTTTTTTTTTCACACTTAGAATGTGTGTGTGTGTGTGTGTGTGTGTGTGTGTGTGTGTGTGTGTGTGT